GTGTGCACCTGCTGTGCCCTAGTGTGTGTGCATGTGTGCACACTGTGCGTTTGGTTGTGGTGTGCGTGCACCTATTTCTGTACACTGGGGTGTGTGTGTGTGTGTGTGTGTGTGTGAACACTGTGCATTTGGTTGTGGTGTGTGTGTGTGTGCACCTGCTGTGCCCTAGTGTGTGTGTGTACACATGCACACACTGTGCGTTTGGTCATTGTCTGTGTACATCTGCTCCTGTGCCCTGGGTAGTGTGTGTGTACTTGTGCACACTGTGTATTTGGTTGTGTGTGTGTGTGCACCTGCTCCTCTGCCCTAGTGCGTGTGTGTATACATGTGCACACTGTGCATTTGGTTGTGTGTGTGCACCTGTGCCTGTGTCCTGAGTAGCGTGCATGTGCTTGTGCACACTGTGTATTTGGTTGTGTGTGCACCTGCTATGCACTGGGGTGTGTGTGCATGTGTGCACACTGCATTTGGTTGTGGTGTGTGTGTACCTATTCCTGTGCACTGGGAGGTGTGTGTGTGTGCACACTGTGCATTTGGTTGTGGGGTGTGTGTGTGCGCGCACCTGCTCCTGTGCCCTAGTGTGTGTGTGCATGTGTGCACACTGTGCATTTGGTTGTGGTGTGTGCGCGCCTGCTCCTGTGCACTGGGGTGTGTGTGTGTGTGAGAACACTGTGCATTTGGTTGTGGGGGGTGTGTGTGTGTGTGTGCGCGCACCTGCTCCTGTGCCCTAGTGTGTGTGTGCATGTGTGCACACTGTGCATTTGGTCATTGTGTGTGTGCACCTGCTCCTGTGCACCCACTTCACTGTCCCACCTGTCACCTGTCACCATCAAAGTGACTTCTGCGTTTACTATTTATTAGGGAGCTGTAGAGCCAAAATCAGCAGGAGGGTGACCCAGAGCAGAGCACCACATGCCTGAGGACTGTCCCAGGACAGGAGGATCATCCCAGCATCCACGCGAGCCACATGGGGCTCCTCCGTGGGGGCTGTGCAGAGGATGACTTCAGAGGTGGCCCTGGGCAGACAGGGAATTGTTAACAGCACTGGTCCCCTCTATAGGGTTGAGAGAGACCCCATGAAGAGGATAGAGGAGGAAGAGGAGGAGGAGGAGGCTAAGCCTGTGTCTGGGTAAGGTCTACTTCATATTTTCCCCAAATCAGAGCTTGGAGAGAAGAACATCTTGACCGTGAGCAGATTTGGTGGTTGCCATTTGTTTGTTTGGTTTGAAGATGCTTGGCTAAAGTTTCTCAGACAAAAGGTCCTGTGTTCAGCCCACGTTCTGTGTCTCCTCAGCTGGGAATTTGTGTATTTGTGGGCAGTGTTGGGGAAGAGAGCAAGGATCCAGGCCACCGGGTCTTACCCCTCCCAAGCGGCTCACCCTGTGTGAGACCCCGGGGGGTGCTTGTCTCGTGCACAGTTTTGGAAAATGGGCTGTGGGTCTGGAGCCGTCCAGTGGGTTCATCGTCTGATGATGATGCTGAAGCAGGAGGAGCCCCGGACCCCAGGAAGGTTCTTGTCTTCCTCGCCAACCGCGTTATGTTTCCAAACAGTTGAGATCCCAGTGGAAATTCCCAGCACACACACAGACGGCAGGGGCCTGTTCTTCAGGCTCTGTTTTGACATAAATCAGAATGCTGTTTCCTGATCCATATGTACGACTCCGTCTGCACGTGCTGCTCACGGTGCTATTGATGGGGGTTCTGTTTCTGTGGCTTTCAGCAAGGTTCTGGTGCCTTCACGCCTATGGGGCTGGGCCCCGACTTGTGGAAGTGCCCGTGCCAGCCCTGGGTGGTGCCCCAGACATGCTGCTGTCTCCTGTCCCTGCTGTGTGGTTTTTGGCACGGTCCAGTGAGCCAGGTTCATGACTGTGGTGGTCAACTTTTTCCTACACTTCATCAGCCATCCTCACTGCAGCCCAAAATAAAATTATCCAGGCTCTCCCCTCCAGCACGAAGGGCGGGGCCTTGCTGCTCATCCTTCCCCAGCATCACATGCCACTGCGGGGCAGTGTTTGTCGACTGGACTCTGGGGTTTCCCAGGTTCTGAGCTGGTTGGGGCTCCACCAGCACCATCCCTGAGCTCCCCACATCCTGCCTCTTCCACATCCTGCCTCTCTCCTGTCAGCTGAAGCTCACCCACCTAAGAAGCATTTTCCTGCCCCCTCCCTGAGAACAGTGGAAGCAGATGTTCTGGGGGGTCCCGGAAACCACCTGCATGTCTGGGGACTCACTAGGACTCAGCACAGTCACACCACAGCAGGGCCACACCATGTCACGGCCACACCATGTCACAACCACACCACGGCACAGACATGCCACAACATCCACACAACAGTGACAGCACAGCCACAGCATGGCACAGACACATCGCAACAGCCATACCACAGCACAGACACATCACAACAGCCATGCTACAGCACCAACACCACAACAGCCACACCACAGCATAGACACACCATAACAGTCACAGCACAGCCACACCACAGCAAAGCACAGATAGAACAGCCACACCACAGCATAGACACACCATAACAGTCACAGCACAGTCACACCACAGCAGCCACACTACAGCCACACCACAGCAGCCACACCACAGCACAGATATACTTTAACAGCCACACCATGGCACAGCCAAACCACAGCATCCAGACGACAGCACAGGCATACTACAACACCCATACCATGACACAGCCACACCACTGCACAGTCATACAACAGTCACACCACGGCACCCAGACCACAGCACTGAGATACCACAACACCCATGGCATGACACAGCCACACCACAGCACAGTCACACAACAACAGCCATACCATTTTCACAGCCCTATAATCAGGAGGCATGGCTGGATCTGCAAGGAAAGAGTTCACAGGCACAGCCTGGAGGGGCCGGTAAGCAGATTTCCTGTGCTCTCCCTCACCACGCTCTCCTCCTGGAGGGCCACACACTCCCTCCAGTAGCAAAATGCAGCCCCACGTGTGCAGTGCTTCTGCCCAGGGAATTCCAGCTAAGACCCAAAATTCAGGGTTTTGACTGGGGGCTACTCACTGACATGCCAGGTCCTCAAAAGAAAGGCCGGCGTTTGCCATAAATTACATTGTTTGCACAAACGGTCTAGGCAGGAACCTCCTCACTAAAGGAGTGCTTCAAAGCCAAGTTTCCAGATGCCAGCCGATGGCCACCCTTGCAAGCAGGCACTTCTGTATCTAGTAGCCTCAGGCCCGTCCACAGAGACACTTTGGAGTGAGGACTTCGGGGGGCCAGGGCTTGCATGGGGGCACTGAGGAGCCCCATGGAGCCACAGAGACCAAGGCCAGAGTCATGGGTGGCTGCCTCCCACCTGTCCTGTTCCTGACATGGCTCCAGTTTGGATGAGGTACTTGGCTGACTGTGAGGGATGGTGGCCAGAAAGGGCAGGGAGGGTGGGAGGGAGAAGACCACATCCCCCAGAGGAGACAGAAAAAACAGGGTGTGATGGCAGGGATTTGGGAAGACTGCAAACCTGGAAACAGACATTGCGCGTGTGTGTGTGCGTGTGTGTGTGCGTGCGCGCATGCATGTATGCATATGCAGTGTCCGTGAGGGGTGTGTTGTGTATGTGTGTGTATATGTTGTGTGCATGTGTGTACTATGTGTGAATGGCATGTTTGGGCATGTGTATGTCTAAGTGTTGTGTGCACATGTGTGTAGTGTGGTGTGTGTGTGCATTTTGCATTGTGTGTACACATGTGCAGTGCATGTGTGTGGTGTGTGGGCATGTATGTACACTGTGCATGTGTTGTGTGTGCATGTATGTGTATTGTGCAGTGTGTGTGTGTGCGCGCGAGTGTGTTGCAGCCATGGATGGGGCGGAACACCACCTGTTCTGGAAGTAGGGCAGTGAGCGGAGAGCGTTGCCCGTGGAGAGCAGCTGGCTCTGGAGCAGGTTGGGTGGCCACAGCAAAGCAAATGCCCTGGTCTTGTCCCTTCAATCTGGGGAGTGATTTCTTAAAATACTGCATAATATTTTCAGCAAGACCTCTGTTCTGTATTTGCATGTCGATAGTTCATATCCCAGGCAGTAATCACAGAATTCGGAGACACATTGACGGGGGAGGAGTCTTACTGGGTACGTGTCCGGATTCTTGGCCCTGCTCAGCCTGGAAGTATCACTGAGGGAAACCCCTATTTTACATGGGGCTTCAGCATTTCCAACTGCGAAATATGAGGGCTGGACGGCCAGGTACCCTTCCTCCTGTAGGTTCTAAAGATTGAGGTTTCCACGACAACCGATTTAGAAACGAATCAGATTAAAGGCACAAAGAACAATGTACAATGTTAATTGCAGCAGAGATTTCAACTGTAACGCTTACTATGTGAAGAAACAAACACGTATGTGTCATTTGACTGCATTTATTTTTCATTCTGTTTGAGGTAATATCCTCTTACTTAGAAGTTAGGTTAAAAAATCAAACACCAAAAAACTCTTCAGACCTCTCCTAGGTTAGAAAACCGTGGTGTCTCTGCTGCTGGCCTCTGGCTCTGCCCCAGCGTGCCCTCGCTCCCGCCCCTCAGCCCACACGGCCTCCCGCCCACATTGCCGTGCTCCAGGGGCTGATCCAGGGCCCACCCTGTGAAAAGCAGCTCCTTCATAACTTCTGCAGAAGCATCAAACTTGTAATAAGAAAAAATTTGAAGCCGAAGAAACTGGGCCACTGGCCTAGACATCGTGAGAGAGATCCGAGGTCACTTCTGTAGGGGCTTTGTGGGGAGCACGGACTCATCCTCCTGAGAGTGTGGCCTTCCGTGGGGGCCGGGTGTGTCTTCCAGGCTGGAGGCTCAGCACATGGTGCTGTAGCTGGTGCTGGACCCCCGAGGGCAGTGCCCGCCATTGTCTCAGCGACTGTCCTGAACCTAGCCAGTGCCTGGTCAAGGCCCCAAAATGCCTGGAGTGCTGACCCGTGGCGCGTACGTTCCCCGGGTCACCACACTGAATGGCATTTTCTCCACTCTTTTTCAGAGAGAAAGCAGTGCGTTGGTGAAAGCAACATGAGGAGTGATTTCCGTTCCTGCTGGGGGACCCAGGCCTCTGTCCGGGAGCTTCGTCCAGCCTGTGAATGGAGCCTGACTGGCTGCAGATGGAACTTCTCTGTCTTCCCACCCTTGGTGTCTAAGGTTATTGCTTTCAGAGCTGAATTTACAAGAGGTGTGTGTGTGTGCATGCTCACTCGTGTGCACATGCATGCGTTTAAGCATGTGTTCACTCAACCCGAAGAGCAGTTCACGGGATTTAGCAATTCTGAGGTAGGTAGAAGTTGAGGCACTGGGTAGGCAGATGTGCAGCCAGCTGTGAATGTACCGTGCACCATTGTACAAAGGAAGCAGACCCCATTGCTGGAGGGAGGATTGGGTTGTCTGGAAGTATTAGGTTCATTTCATGTTTGTGTTAGAAGAAATGTCTGACTTTGGGGCAGATGAAATAGTGGCTGCGGACCAGGCATGGTTCCCTAGGTCAAAATCAGGGAAAAGCTAATAGGATCAGACAGATAGGCTTTTTCTTTGGTGGGTGCAGGATTTCTGCTGGGAAATGCACTATTAATCACCACTTCTCCAAGAAAGACCCATCCGTTTCTGTTGTTATTCAAGCCACAGTTCCTGATTTACTCGGACAAGATACCGGGCTGGTTCAATGTCTCTCGCTGAGCCTGACTCGGTGTTTGCGTCTCAAGTCTGAACTCTTGTTTAGTCCTCTGTGCATAGTTTAGTCTCAGTTTAGTGACTGCATCTTCTTGGCACATTTATTATACTCAGAATTGAATGGCACACAATAGCCTCTTGTTAATGGAAGCTACCATGGAGCTGTGGGTGAACCACTGGGTTGAAGTCTGATGGACACAGGCATCCAGAAATATGTTGTAATTCTACCTGGCTCCATGCCAGCCTGGCCTCCTCCTCTGGGGAAGCTCCTGGCCTGGCCCCAGTGTGTACCTGCATGGGAGCAACAGCTGCACGGGCTGGCTGTTGAGGATCTAAAGGTGTGCAGTGAAACTCACCCAGATTCACTTCCCTCCTGTTTATTTGGGTCATCATGGTTTTGCATGTTGTATATGTTTGGAGCACTTCATAGACCCCTGTCTACCACAGGCATTCTTAACCACGGTTCTGTAATAATAATAAGGCAAACTCTACAGCAAAGAGAAGCATGTAAATATGTACCAATTAAGTTGTAATTGTTTATATGTAAAAAGCATGTATATAGGAAAGGGAGAAGGTGCAAGGAACGTGAATAACATCCAAGCTGCGTTGCATCCCTGCCCATTCCCGAAAGCACACATCTAGCAGGAACGTCTGTTCCTCTCCTTAGACATCACCGTTTTCACTCATCTATCATAGGCACCTTCTTTACATCTGATTACAATATCCAGCATTTCAGAACTGGGTTTTTGCCCCAGAAAACGTAAATATGAGCATTTATCACTGACTCCTCCTGGTCCAGTGAGCAGCAGCAGAATTCAAGTATTTAAAAATAAGATGCATTTCTAAATTGTAGGCTACCTTCTTTTCTAAACCAATGGGCTAGACTGAATGTCCTCCAAGTATGTGAGCTGTCTCACTGCTAGCTCTTCTAACAGGGGAAGTCTGTATAAATGCATCATCCCCTAATAATGCAAGAGAAGGGACCTTGAAATGTTGCCAGAAATGTTTACTGTGTAACCGAGACATCAACATTTATATCAACGTCATCACACACTGTGCACAACATACGGAACAACATACTTTGTCTAAGCTAAAAATCCATGTAAATTGCAGATGCTTTTGTTGACACCAGTGTGTTGTTTACCTTGTACCCACGGTCCGGATTTCAAGCTGCAGAAGGACTATGACTGTTCCTTAAAGTCTCTGCCCTCGCAGAATCTGTAGCCTTCAGGATACCCCGAGTGCCTTACAGGGCTTGAACACCGACACTAGAAGTCAAAAAGGAGAGTGTGCCCAAGTGTGGGTCTGGAGGCACTGACGCATTTGCCGACACTCACCGTCATCCCATCCTTGAAACCTAAGGGGAGTGTGTTTTAACACAGTAATGGAGTTTAAGTTTAGGCTCAGGAAACTCATATTGTGAATATAGGTATCAAATCATATATTTGTTTACTGTATATTTTTTAAAAAGCTTTATTGTAAATTTATGCAAAAACTAATCGGGCCTGTTTTCTTATGGCAGCATGCCGGGCAGTGTGTGCATTTTCTGAGGCGGTCCCTTCAAAGCACCCTCTAACCCCGTGACATTCTGTTCAGTGCTAAGCAGTATTCACAGGCCTAACATAGGTTTGTATGGTGATCTACTACAAGATTTTACAAATATTTTTGTATTGTGATTCCTATGATATATACCAGAGAATTTTTACTCATTTGTAAATTATTGTACAGTTTTAATAAAAAAAGTTTTAAATCTTAGATTAAAGCCCCTCAAAGGTATTAAAGTGTGAACTGAAAGCCGTATGAACCATTTCTGCATTTTCGAGTTCATTCTCTGAAGAGTGCCTCTGCACACCAGAAACAGGGTCTGGGCCTTCCGCCCACTGTGGAGGAAGCCCCAGGTCTCACCTGCCAGATCACCTGGGGGGTGAGCTCTGCAGTCAGGGGGTCTAGCAGCACCTGGCTCAGGTCGGCCACCGGGCAGGCCCCCTCCTGTGGCTGTTTGTCAAATGTGAACCATCAGAGACACCACACAATTAGGAAAAGAACAGAACTTCTGCAGCTGAGTAAGAACAGTTGGTGATGTTTGCCGTGGACGGTCCCACACAGGTGAGTGGCGGACGTTACGTTAATCATTTGGGAGGGGGAACCAAAGGAGGACCGGGGGTGGGAAGCTGCTGGATTTAGTTCTGCTGGCTCGGGCCCCGCCAGTACTCGAGGTCGTGGTGACTCGGTGTCCGAACTCCGGCTTTGAAACGCGGACTGTGCTAACGCAAAGGCCTGGAGTCTCTGGGTTCAAATTCAGCCGCTGCAGGCTGGATAGTGACAGAATCGCTCCGTCACCCCTGTCTCGCCCCAGGCCTCTAACTCGGCTTTAAGGGAGATCAGCAGCAGCTCCAGTGGGCGGGTCCCCCCGGCCCTCCCACGAGCCCAGGCTTTCAGAGTCAGGGCCGCCTTGCCTAGCGTCGGACGGTCCAAGGGGCCTGAAATGCGGCCGCAATTCCCGTAGCGGTTTCCCCAGGGCGCGCTCCCGGCGCGGCCTTCCCAGCGCCCAGCGTGTCCCGAAGGTGAGCAGCCGCGCGTGGCTGGGACTGAGCGAGCGCCGGGAGGCCAGGCTGGGGCGTTCAGCACCCGCTGCGTGGACAGCGCCAGCTCCGCGCGGGGCGGCGGGGGCGGCAGGAGGCGGAGGGAGGCGCGGCCGCCAGGTCCGCCCGGTGCACCTGCCGCACAGACCCCGCCGAGCAGGCTCGGAGACCGGAGTCGGACGCCCGCTCCTGCCGTGACCGCGAGGATGGCCCGGCTCAAGCTCGGCTGCGTGTTGCGCCACGTGGAGGACGCCCTCGAGAGCAAGACGCTGCCGCTGGACGCGCTGGGCGGCGGCTGGTCTGCGGGGCGCGCGGCGACTGCGGAGACCCCCCGGCGGCCGCGGCAAGTCCCCGAGGGCCGCCCGGTGTGGCCCAGGCCCGGGGTCCCCAGCAGGTAGCGGCCGCGGGACGGGGACCCGGACTCCCCGAGACACTCGCGCCGGAAGGACGCCGGGCGTGGGGCTCACCTGCTTCCCTCCGCGGGCCCTCCCTGTCCCCGAACGTCCTGAACCTTCTGGGTCCCGCGACCCCCACCCCCCCGTCCCGCCACCGGGTCCCGGTCCCTGGGGAGCGCGAGCGCCTCTCGCTGTCTCTGTGTCTCTCTGACTCGCGCTCCCCCTCCCGCCCTCTGTTTCGCGCGGCCGGCGTGGAACAGCTTTGCAGGATCGCACCTGGCGCTGGGGCCTGGCCCAGGCCATCCGCGAAGGAGCCGGCTTCGGCCGAGACGCCTTCGGGGACGGGTGCGGCTCCCAGAGAGCCGCGGCCCGGGGTCCTCGCTGGCTTGGAATGCCGGGGCCGGGGCCGGGGCCGGGGCCGGGGCTGCGCGTGGCAGGGAGGGCAGGCGCGCAGCGGGGCTGGCGGGACGCTCCGGACTGTCCCTCCCCTCCCCGGGGTGCAAACTCCGCGCGCGTCAACCGGGACGGATTGAAATCCTGTCCCCCTCCCCACCCAGCGCTCGTCCGCGGGTCCGCGCGGGGGCTGGCGGTGCAGAGATCAGGCCTTGCGGCCGCCCCTTATACGCTGGGCGGGGACTTGGGGGGTCCGGGAGGGGCTTCAAGGCGAAGGCGTGGCCAAGGGGGCCGGGGGCCCTGTGGGGGCGGGGCCCGAGGGGCGGGGCGGCCCGAGAGGAGGGGGCGGGGCCAGGCGGGGCGGAGCCGGAACGGAGCCGGAACAGCGCCGTGCGGCCCCGCGCGCTCGCAGTAGGTCTCCCGCCGCCCCCACGCACGCGTCGCGTCTCACGCTTCCCCCGCCCGCCCCCGCTCGTGCCGCCCCTGCCAGGGACCCCCAGGAGCAGGATGTCCTTCCAGGGCAAGAAGAGCATCCCCCGGATCACGGTGAGCCCGGCCTGCGTCTCCCAACGCTCCCTGCCCACCACCCCGAGCGGGGCCTGGACGCGGGGCGCACCCCCCTGGCCGTGTGCGTGGAGGGGGCGGCCATGCCTTCGCTTCGCGCCCGGCCCCTGCCCGGCGCTTCCCCGCCCGGCGCTTCCCTGCCCAGCTCCTTCGCGGCCCGGGGTCGGAGAGTCCCCGCGAGCGCCGCGCCAGGCCCCCTGATGGAGCGGGGCGCACTGCCCGGGCCCTGCCGGCTTCCGGGAGCCTCGGCTGCGCCCGCGGAGGACCCGGGGCCGGGCGGCCTGTGCCTTGGAGCGCAGAGGCTCCTTCTTTCCGCGGCGGCCCGGCGGGCGGGCGGGCGAGGCGGGCGGACGCGGCCCTTTGTTGGCGGGGCTGGTCCGGGGCGCGCGGAGACGCCGTTCCCGGCGCAGCCCGTGGGCCGCCCGCCCCTTGGACGCACTGGCGCCGCGTCGGGAGCTCTTTGTCCGAGACAAAGCGATTTAGCCCCAGCCGCTCGGGCCAGAGTCCCTGGCGGCCCCTGACCCTCCGCTAACCCTGGGTTCAGAGACTCCGACGAAAGCGAGCGCCCACGGGCCACTGGCCGAGCGGCCCGGCCGCCCCCAGCCTTCGAGGGCGGAGACCCCTCCCCACACTCGCACGCACCGACGCGGAGGTCCGGCTCTGCCGGGAACAAAGCCTCCCACTCGGGCGGCGGGACAGAGGGCGGGAGGAAGGAGGCTTCGAGACCGGTGGGGCCTGGGTGGAGGAGTCCGTGGGGTCCCAGACCCGACTCCCGACTCGCCAGAAGAGCCATAGAGTCTGATCTCTGGTATTAGCCCCAGCCGTGGGCTCTGGGCTCCACTTCCTGAGACGCGGAGGGAGGAAGAAGCTGCTGCCTCCAGAGGGGGCAGCCAGCTTGGGTCTGGTCTTGATGCAGGAGGTCCCACTAGCCTGCTAGCATGTGGGGGTCGAGTTTAGGGGTGGCAGGAGGACCCCTTTCCAGGGTGGGTCAGGCAACTATGTCAGTAGGGAGGGGCGGCCCATTCCCCGGAACTTTCACCCTCATCTGGATGAGCACAGTAAGAACATGGCCCCACACCCAGCTTCGTCTCTTTCTGGGTTCCAAACCCGTCTGAGTGTGGGTGCCTGAAAACTTGGGGTGCCTGTGAGCAGAGAGCCGAGAACACAGGCCTCAAGCCTCCCTCTACCCAGCTGGGTTTTCTAGGGCTTCCTTGAAAATGCATGGGTTCCCTGGGAGAAGTGGGAAGTGAAGAGCCGGGAGAGCCCCGGGAGGCAGCCAGGGCCTGATGCGGCCACAGAGGCTGTGCAGATGCACGGTGGTGCCGGGTCAGGACTGGGCCTGGTGCTCAGCTGGGACTGGGCAGGAGGGGGTGAGCGCAGCCGCCAGAACGGACAGCTCTGTAGACCAAGGGTCTAAAACTTCTTCCACAACTGGCCCAGAGTAAACATTCTCAGCTTTGTGGACCACGCTGTTCATGTCACAGCTGCTTGGTCCTGCCAGGAAAGTGGTCCTGGGCACTCCAAAAGTCAGTGGGTATCACTGTGTTATGACAGAACTTTATTTGCGGACACCACAGTGTGAACTTCACACTTTTTTTTTTCAATGCATATAAACCATTTTTAGTCTAAGGCTGTATGAAGACAGATAGAGAGTTTGTAGACTATGGGGTAAGTGGTTTATAAGTCACTGGGATCCTGAAAATGCAGCCCCACAGTTGGATGTCAACAGTGAGTCCCATAATGGGTTCCTGGATAATGAACTCCTCCTCATTCCGAGAGGTCAATGAACTGGACATTTCAGTTTAATGCTCTCGACTTCAGCCTGACAGTGTGTGAAGGCCGCAGCCCCAGTCTGGGGCCCTGGCTGCCTTGAGGTGACCCTGGAAGCCGGGGCAGGTGGCCGGACCTCCCTGTTAAATGCACACCCTGCCTGGTCAGTCGCAGGGTGTGTCGAGGCTCCAGCAGGGCGGAGGAGGGAAGCGTGCTGCAGAGTCCAACCGGTGCCTGCGTCTGTCTCCACCTCCTTCCGCTCCTTTGTTGTGTTTCTCTCCCTCATTCTCCACTGAGGTCAGATCTTCACCTCTGACAGTCAGTGCTGAGTTCCGTCAGTGACACCTCACTTTCCACCTAATCTTCTGCTCCCCAGCCATCTGGTAGGATTCTTAGAAGTGGATTTATGGCTGCCAAGCACTGGAGTCAATCCCTGTCTAATGCCACAGCTCTGTGCTGCCAGGGCTGACGCACAAAGAGCTGGCCTGCAGAGCCTGACGCTCTGTGCACCCACTGGGAGTGCGTCCAAGCCACACCAGAACCAGAGGTCCCCCAGTCTCTTCTTCCCCGTCACCCCCATGGCCTCTCGGTCAGCAAGTCCTGACTCCCAGCCTCTCTGAAGCCACTGTCCTCCCGTCCCTCACATAATCCTGTCCCAGAGCCCCTCCGCTCGCTTGGCCAACCTCAGCAATCGCCGCAGTGGTGATCCCACTTCCACGGTGACACATCACCCCTGTTTTCCATTGCAGCAGCCAAGGCGATCTCTTTAAAACATTAATCAAACCAGGACTGAAACCTGCTTAAGGCCCCCAGTCAGGGGCAGCCATGGAGTCCCTAGGACTACATATCCTGCCCCTGCCTCTGGCCCCAGCACCCCACCAGAAGGTGCCAGGCCTCGGCCTCCTCCCAGGTTTGCTGATGGCATCTCAAGCCCTTTCCTGTCCCGGGGCCTTTGCACAGCTGCCTCCTGGCTGGAACACTGGCCCTGGCCTCCTTGCCCCTGTATCAGCCACCCCACCCCAGAGGTCCTTCTCCCTATGAGGAGCCTCTCCCCTCTCATGGCCCTGCCACAGCACCCTTGCTGTGCTCTGCGTGTTTAT